TGGTCCGGGACTGACCCCCGGCAGGGGCTGGGTATGGCCTGGGGCTGAGGTGTGAACTCACCTGCTCAGAGCCCTTACCTGTTTTTGCCCTGTCAAGGATGGACAGAGGGCACCAGCGGGCTGTACCCAGAGGCATGCTGCACGGGGCTAGCAACTTTAACCAGCGTGCCTCAAGGCACTATAGTAAAGTTAGGTATTATTATTGTACGTGTTTATAAAGACAGTTAGGTTGTGAAATGGGATTCATCCAGCTCTTAAAGATAAATCCCAGGGGTCAGATTCCAATCTACTGCAAGTCCAGTGGTGGTAGTGAACTTTGATCCATGTTTTATGTGGCAATGAATATGTGATGCACAGGGGTGGTGGAAAGACACTGAACTCTATTTCCTGGGCTCACTTACATGACATTGATCAGGGTTACAAGAGGTTAAAAAGTCTGTCACATCACAGGAATCAGTGACTCCAGTGGCTACTGCTACCCGTGGTATCAGCTTTGGGCATGATGCCACATGAGATAAGAAAAGAGTGACATCTCGGTCTCTGGGTTTCCGTTAAACACTGGGTTGGCATTGGAACTGGATTGAACGACCATGTGCCGATCTAGATCGCTAACCTGCATGCCAAGAAGGGGAATCTATAGAGTGCACCCTGGAACGATGCACAAGTGACTGGTCTCTGGAGAGACTGGAATTTATTCTCTTGTTTCCATGGGCGGCACCTTGAGGGGTTTTTTTGCACCACCTGCCTGGTCTGGTGGCTCAGTTGTAGGTGAGTTAGAGCACTTCAGTCTTTCCCCTTCCTAGAAAGATCGTCTGTGACTTTCGTGGGTTGAACCAGAGCCATATGCGCTTCGTCCACCTGCAGAACTCCCCCAGGCGTCGGGACGTCTTGGGGATGGCAGAGGCTGTATCAGTGGAGAAGGGAGATGTACCGTTATCTGCATCTCACTAGAGCCTGGGCCTAGTGTATCTCATGACCTTACTACCGGGTTAATGAAAAATAGAGGAGGGAAGTGTGTCTTGAGCCTTGGCTGAACTCACCCAGCAAACGCAGTACCCCTCCGCCTAGCACCGCCCCGCTCTTCCTGCATGCCACTTGCATAGCCCTGTTTGGCCTGGTGATTGTTCCTGCTGTCTGGATTTCTCATGCTGGAACAGGGCAAGCCAGCTAACGATCCCGTCTCTCCTTACAGACCTGGAGAAGGAAGTAGTGAAGTTCCGGAAGAAGTTAAGACAGAGCCTCCCG